CAGGGTCGCTATGAGTCGGAACCAACTCCACGGCACATAACAACAACAACAAAGACTAGACACCACAGTTACAAATACCCCCCAAAGACTCTACAAGAGAAAACTACTTCAAACAGGTCAACCCCAAACCTCATGATACTCCAAACCCAAGCCCAGGGTCATGGGGTTAATTCCAACTCATAGTGACCCTGTATAGGGTTTTCGAGGCTGTAAATTTTTACAGAAGCAGAAAGCCTCATCTTTCTCCCACAGAGCCACTGGTGGGTTTAACTGCAGACCTTGCAGTTAGCAGTCCAATGCTTAATCTACAGTTCACATTATAATAAAGCCCCTCCTAATAATGAAACCTTGCGATCCAGAGCGCTATCTCATGCCAGACGTTCCAAAAACAAAACCTGCCAATGTCCACTTCAATCCAACTCCCAGAGCCCCAACAGAACCCTGGGGAACTGCTCCTGAGGGCTTCTGAGACTGCACAGGTTGACCAGAGCAGAGTCTCATCTTTCTCCCTCAGAGCAGCTAGTGTGTTTGAACAGCAGAACTACCGACCTTACGGTAAGTAGCCCAATGCTTAACCCACAGTGCCACCAGGGTTCATTACAAAGTTCTATACAAGTTCTGGGAAGAGGAAGGCTTTTCATGATACCAAGGTTCAGAAACCATAGGGGAAAACATTGATGAATGTGACTAAAAATTTAAACCTCCATAACTCCCTCACAGAGCCCTGTGGCACCGTGGTTAAAGTGTTGTTCAGCTGCTAACTGAAAGGTTGTGTGTTTGAATCCATTAGCTGCTCTGTGGGAGAAAGATGTGGCAGTCTGCTTCCGTAAAGATTATCAGCTTTGGAAATCCTATGGGGCAGGTCTACTTTGTCCTACAGGGTCGCTGTGAGTCAGAATTGACTTCAGTGGCCTTGGGTTTATTTTGTTTTGTTTTTCATCCCCCACACAAATACACACATATCAATACACAAAAGAACACTGTCAATAAAACTAACAGAAAAGTTTGTGGAAAAGAATTCCAAGTTGTATGTCAAAGAGTTAATATTACAAATATGTAAAGAGCTTCTAGAAATAAGTAAGAATAAGGCAAGCCAGGGCTGAGAGAATTCTCCATGGGTCTCTAGTGTTTCTTCGTGTTTGGGAGGAGACACAGTGATGTCTCTGTCTCCCTCAGAAATAGAAGGCAGACAGGCTTGCTGTCTTTTATAAAAGATCCTGAATCCCTAAGCTTGGGGCTTCTCTCCGTCTTGGGGTGGAGTTGTAGGATAAGCACTGGACCGTGAATCACAAGGTCGGTAGTTCAAATCCATCAGCTGCTACTCAGAAACCCTATACAGGGTCACTATGAGTCAAAACCGACTCAATGGCACTTAACAACAACAACACTGCATATACAGTTGTCCTCTGGTCCTCTTCACACGATCCTGTCGTAACTGGGATGCAGAAAATGGGCATGAATGTGTGTACTGTGGCTACTTTTATTGCTGTGAGTAGTAAACTGTCTAGGTGCCTTGCTGGTGCCATGGTTAAGCACTTGGCTGCTAATGAGTTCAAATCCACTCCATGGCTCTGCAGGAGAAAGAGCTGGTGATCTGCTCCTTCACAGACTGTTGTTGAGTGCTGTTGAGTGGGTTTCAATTCATCATGATGCTGTACAGGGTTTCTGAGGAGAGGCTGGTGGATTTGAACCACCAACTTTGCAGTTCAAACAGATTTTGTGTGCTTATTTTACAGAGCCACACCAGAACTCCTGGAAAACTCAGTGGGGTAGTTCTACTCCATTCAATGGGCTTGCTATGAGTTGAAATCGACTCAAAGGCACCCAACCACAATAAATTATCCTTTATCTCTGATCTGGGAGTCTTGTGTAATCTCGGGAGTAGTTAAATTCACAGTTCTTGGCATCCAGTAGGGAAATGGACAAAGGACATATACAGGCAATTTGCAAAAGAAGTACAAACAGCTTCTAAACGCCCAGAAAGATGTTCAAGCAACAGCAGTCATCAAAGAAAGACACATGGAAAGAATGACAAGTCGTCGTCTTCTTTCGTTCTTTGTTTTGTAACCAGGGAGACAAACAGAGAATTGGGGTCACCCAGTGCTAGCTAAAGGGTGTATAATGGTACAGAGTTTCTGGAGAATGATTTGGCAACATGTATCAAAGGTGTGGGAATTGTAAACATCTTGTAACCCAACAATTATAAATCCTGGAAGGTGCAATTATTGGTCTCTGCACATCAGGAACAAAAAAGAGTGAAGAAAGTCAGACACATGGAAACAATTAGTCCAAATGACAAATGGGCCCCACGAACATCAGCCCCCATAACCTTGAGATCAGAAGAACTAGATGGTGCCTGGCTGCCACTGTCAACAGCTCTGAAAAGGATCACAATACAGGGGTCTTGTATAAAGTGGTAGAAAAATGTGAAGAAAACTCAAAATCATTAAAAAAGAAAAAGGTCATGTTTACTGGTTTAACAGACACTGGCGGAACTCCTCAGACTATGACTCTTAGACATCCTTCAAATGTGGAACTAAACTCACTTCCGGGGCACAGCTTTCAGCCAAACAATAGGCCTATGTAGTTATTCTTAAGTCTCATCTAGTCCAGTTCCAACTCATAGCGACGCTGTACAGGGTTTCTGAGGAGTGGTTGGTGTGTTTGAACAACCAACCTTGCAGTTAGCAATCCAGTGCTTAGCCAACAGCGCCACACTGAGAACACCAGGGAAGTACATACTCCTTAAAACAATTACCCATTTGAGATCAAAAGGGAAGTCTTTATCCAGGGGTAAAATTCAGATAAAAGACAAGGATAGGAAAGACAGAGTACTGGAAAGGTAAACACAGGAAGGAAATGGGAGGAAAGCTATTACATTGTAAAGACCCAGTTCTGTAATCCACTAAACTACCAAGGTTCCTGTATATATGAGTTGTTAAGTGTTGAGTCAGTTCTGACTCATAGTGACCCTGTATAGGGCTTCCAAGGAGCGATTGGTGAGCTTGAACCGGTGACCTTGCGGTTCAAACTGATTTTGCAGTCCAGTGCATTAACCCACAGTGCCACACCAGGAAAATCAATCTGCTCTGTAAACTTCCACTCAAATCAGAATAAAGAATTTTTTGTTTTTTTAAAATTAATTTTAAAAAATTAATTAAATACATTAAAAAAAATTTTTTTTTAAATTAAATCCTAAGCATTTCACCTTGAGGTGAAGTTGGATGAGGTATAAAGATGTGCTCTGAGGACATGTCTGATGAGGAAACATGGAGACGCCCTCAGATACACAAGAGTGGGAGACATTGGACTCTGATGGACCGTGCAGAGAACCGAATACCATTCAACCACTAAAAAGGGAGAAGTTGGTCTCCATGTCAGCAGTTCTCAAACTTAAACACAAAACAGAATCACTCAGAATGGGGGTGATGGGCCCTCTTTTCTGTAAAAGCTTTGGGAGTCCTAAGCACTGTGTGGCAACCATTCAATGATGTCGTATCCTAAACTCAGGCTTAGGCAAATGAATGCCAGTAGCGGTTTCATTAAACTCTATCTGCAAAACCAAGTCACAGAAGTATCTAGAATAGGCAGATATAGAGGCACCAAAGTTCATTCATGATTACCAGGGGTGGGAGGAAGGAGGAAGTCATTGATAAGGGGGAGCTGAGCTTCTGTTAGGGGTAGTGGGGAAATCTGGAAACAATTAGCCACGTAGCTCTGTAGTAAGTCCACCAGCGACACCACAGGAGAAAGATGAGACTGCGTGCGCTCACAAACGATTTACTGCCTCGGAAACCCTCTACAGGGTCTATGGGTTGGAACCAACTTAAAGGTACTTTACAACAAGGGGTGATGGTTGCACACCATGATGTATGTAATTCATGCCACAGTTTGTGCATGTGAAACAGGTGGAAATGACAGACGTTTTGTTCTGTACCGGCAGACCTCCTTTCGCTACATTGCACTTGATAGCGGTTTACAGACTGAAGGTTTTTGGCAACGTTGCCCTCAAGTCTGTCCACGCCATGTTTCTAACAGCTGTGCTCAGCCTGTGTCTCTGTGTACTCATTTCAATATTCTCACAGTGTTTCCAGGTTTTTCATCACACTTCAGAGAGGACAGTATCATGTCATTGTAACTTTTGTACACGCTGGCAAACCAAAACGTCACATGACTTGCTTCGTCACGTGACTTGCTTCGTTGAGCTATCTACGCTATTATGGTGGTCTGGAACCAAACCTGAAAACCAGTTCCAACTCATGGCGACCCCATGTGACAGAGCAGAATTGCCCTGCTGGTTTTTCTTGGTTGTAATGTGGAGTACTGGTGTGGTGCTGTGGGTAAATGCGCCAGACCACAAAGCTGGTCTGAACCTCAAGGTTGGCGGTTCAAGCTCACCAGCCACTCCTAGGAAACCCTCTACAGGGTTGCTATGGATTGGAACCAACTGGACAGCACTCAATAACAACAATGTTTACAGAGTTTGGGCCCTAGTGGCACAAGGTTAAGCTCTCTGCTGGCGGTTTCAGCCCACCTAAGGCTCCTGGTGTGGCGCTGTAGGATCAGCACTGGACTGTGAAACCGCAAGATCAGCAGTTCAAACCCACCACCAGACTGTGCATGACTACTCAGCCACTCACTGCCATTGTCAGGGAGTTTCAGAAGCTGTAAATATGAACACAGAAAACCTCATCTTTTTTCTGGTAGATTTAAATTGCCAATCGTGTGTTTAGCAATCCAGGGCTTATCTTACAGTGTGACTCCTTACCTGGGCTAACCCAAAACCGAAACCAAACCTACTGGCTGAGTCTACTTCAACTAATAGCCACCCTGTGGCACTGTAGGGAAAGCATTGGACCATAGGTTGGTTTAAAACAGCAAGGTTGGCGGTTCAAACTCACCAGGTGCTCCTCGGAAACCCTATACAGGGTCACTGAGAGTTGGAACTTACTGGGCATTTAATAACAACAATAGGTATGCCGTCAATCTGCATTTTGAAGCTCTCCTGGACAGCTTCCATATCGGTGCAAAGAGCAGCGATTCTCAAAGTGCTGTCCTGGGACCCAGGTATCATCCTGACCTGGAACCTTGTTAGAAATGCAAATTCTCAAACTCCATGCAGGACTTAACTTGATCTTTTGCCATCAAGTCGATTCTGACTCATGGAGACCCCATGGGTGTAAGATTAGAACTGTGCTCCAGATAGGGTTTTTAGTGGCTGATTTTAGGACGTCGATCACCAAGCGTTTCTTCTGGGGCACCTCTGGGCGAATTTGAGTCTCCAATCTTTCATTTGTCAGTTGAGTGCTCTTTGCACCATGCAGGGACTCCCATCTAGGCCTACTGAATCAGAATCCCAAGAAATAGGCATTGTAACCAGTCCTCCAAGTCATGAGTTGGCAAACTAATGTTGGAGGGCCAAACCCAGTCTGCCACCTTTTGTGTGTATGGGTGGGGTTTCTTTCTTTCTTTATTGTATGCTTCTTGTTGTTAAGTGCTGGCGAGTCGATTCCGACCTATAGCGACCCTGTATAAGGTTTCCTGGGAGCAGCTGGTGAGCTTGAACTGCCGACCTTGCAGTTCAAACGGCTTTGCAGTCTGACATGTTAACCCACAGAGGCACACCAGGACTCCTATTGTATGGTCCATGCGTGGTACAAATGTTTTGTTTTTTTGCTCCACTATTAACTGGAGAACTGTAGGATAAGCACTAGACTACTAACCACAAGATCAGCAGTTCAAAGCCACCAGTCACTCCTCAGAAACAGCTCAACAATAACAACAACATTAACCTAAAGGTTGACAGCAGGGATTCACTCAGCAGGGCCACGGGAGAAATTCCGGGAGATGTAATTCAGTAAAGACTGTATTTGTAAGGTGCTGTCCAGTGGAGTAAGCATTGGGTTGCTAACCGAAAGGTAGGCTATTCAAACCCACAAGCCACTCTGGGGAAAGAAAGATGAAGCAGTCTGCTAGTACAGCTCTACTCTGCCTTCTAGGATTGCTTTGAGCCAGAATTGACTGTGCAGCAAGGGTTTATGGGTAGTCACTTCTTGAAGCACCGCCTCCTGGCTCACACTACTTCCCCTCAGCCTTGAGAGGCACAAGAATGTGAAGTGGGGGAAATGGTTCTGGGAAGAGTATCCCCTCCCCCATTAAGAGTTCCAGGTGGGGAGGAAGAGATTGGAGGAGGGAGAAGGAGGGGAGAGCTAGGTGGCAGAGACAAACAGGGGCAAGCCCTTAGAGTTTCAACTGACTTCTTGAGACCTAGCTTAGAGGCTGTGAATCTGGGGGAGGGGGATGACAGGACTGGGTCTCCAAGATACCAGGGGTCACATGTCTGGAGGCCCCCCTTACCCACTGCCATCGCGTTGATTCCCGCACACGGTGACGCCATGTAGGCCCGTAAAACTGAGCTCTGTAGGGTTCTCAATGGCTGATGTTTTGGAAACAGGTCTTTCTTTCAAGGCACCTCTGGCTGGACTCAAACTGTCAACCTCTTGGTTAGCAGCTGAGTGCTAACCGCGCGCTACCCAGAAATTCCTCTCCAGTCCAATTTCACCAGAAACTCAACAATTTGAATAGTAACAAGCCCTCTAGGTTAAAAGCAACATCAAACAATCAAGCCTATGACTCTGAATCCCTTGTGTAACAGGGGAGAACCAAGCTCCACAGGGTTTTCCTCTCATCTTTAAAGTTACAGATTTCCAGGCCTTTCTTCTGCAGTGCAGTTGGTCAGGTTCAAACCTCCAACCTTTTGTTTCCTTGCATGCAAACCATCCTCCCCCGCCCCCAATCACCCACTCATCAGAACTCAGGGTCAAAGATCTCAAGGTTGGACTTTTAGGGATGGGGATCCCATTTAGTGGTTGGGACTATAGGAATCCCAAGAATGAAGTTATGAGTTCTGGAGTCTCAGGTTTGAGAGTCACAGAACTGGGGATCCCCAAGAGTTGAAGGGTCCCAGGTGAGGGTGTCCCAGGTGGGGTCCCCAGTACCGGATCAGCGAGGCTGTGGTGGGATCCGTAAGTAGGAGGAGCTGCAGCAACAGCAACAGTGGTGGTGTAAACACACGCATCTCTGGGTTCGGGTTGTACTGAGCACAGGCGTACTGGGGGCCCCCGTTTCCTTCCTTCGCCTCCTGCCGCCCCAGACTCCGCCCTGTTCACCACCCGCCTCCAGAACTGGAAGTAACGCACAAGTGTAGCTTCTTTGCAAGTGATGCAGAGGAGGAAGGATGAGAATTGGGGAAGGATGTCTGAAGTCTTTTTGTAGGGTCCCCAGAAGTGTTATCCTGTGTCTTAGGTGCCCCCCAGTCTCAATCTTGGTGGCGCTTTTCACTGCCTCCTTACCTCCCCCCTCCCTACCCATTAGTCTTGGTCACTTTTACTTCTAACTTTCACTTCACTTTTCTGAAATTCATTAACCATAAGTGTTATTCTTGGCAACTAGGAGGGTTGGACGGATGTTCTGAACAGTACTGAATTTGGGGGAAGGGCTGGAGAGAGGGTCAGACTAGACATTCTCCCAGGAGCATTAAGAGGACCACTGGGATAAAGTGACTGGCTTGCAAGATTTCAAGAGGGAGTTTAGTTTAAGAGTGTGTGGGGAAAGAAAGAGTCCCCACTGAATAGTTTTCATCTTGTCTAGATGGATCTGGATCTGGTAGCGTAGTGGTTAGGAGTCGAGCTGCCAACCTCAAGGTCAGCAGTTCGTTCATAACTACCAGCAGTTCTGCGGGAGAAAGATGAGGTGTTCTGCTCCCGTAAAGATTTGTTGTTGTTGTTAGGTGCCATCGAGTCAAAACTGACTCACAGCGACTTTATGCAAAGCAGAACGAAACATTGTCCGATCCTGGGCCAAACTCATTACTGTTGCCACACTTGAGTAAATCGATGCTGCCACTTGGCCAATCCATCTCATTGGGGGTCTTCCTTTTTTTCTCTGACCCTCCACCTTACAAACATTATATTCTTTTCCAGAAACTGCTCCCTCCTGACAATATATCCGAAGTATGAGAGACAAAGTTTGGCCATCCTGGCCTCCAAGGAGCACTCTGGCTGCACTTCTTCCAACACAGATCAGTTGGTTCTTTTGGCAGTCCGTGGCACTTTCAGTATTCTCCTCCAACACCACAACTCAAAAGCATCAATTCTTCCATGGTCTTCCTTATTCACTGTGCAGCTTCCATATGCATATGAGGTTATTGAATACCATGGCTTGGGGCAGGCGTACCTTAGTCCTTAAGCTGACATCTTTGCTCATCAACACTTTAAAAAGGTCTTGTGCAACAGATTTGCCTAATGCAATATGTCCTTTGATTTCTTGACTGCTGCTTCTGTGAGTGTTGATGGTTGATCCAAGAAGAATGAAATCCTTGACAACTTCAATCTTTCTCCATTGATAAGAATGCTGTTTATTGGTCCAGTGGTGAGGATTTTTGTTTTCTTTACACTGAGATGTAATCTATATCTAAGGCTGTGCTCTTTGATCTTCACCAGTAAATGTTTTAAGTCCTCTTCACTTTCAGCAAGCAAGGTTGTATCATTTGCATATCGCAGGTTGTTAATGAGTCTTCCTCCAATCCTGATGCCACATTTTTCTTCATGTAACCCACCTTCTTGGATTATTTACTAAGCATATACAGGTTGATTAAGTATGGTGAAAGAATTCAACCCTGTCTCAAACCTTTCTTAATGTTAAACCATTCAGTGTTCCCATGTTCTGTTCGAACAACTGCCTCTTGGTCCAGGTACAGATTCCTCATGAGCACAATTAAGTGTTCAGGAATACTCATACTTCACAATGTTGTCCATAGCTTGTCATGATCCACACAATCGAAAGTCTTTGCATAGTCAATAAAGCACAGGTAACATCTTTCTGATATTCTCTGCTTTCAGCCAAGATCCATTGGACATCAGCAATGATATCCCTCATTCCATGGCCTCTTCTGAATCCGGCTTTAACCTCTGGAAGTTCTCTGTCAGTGTATGCTTGCAGCCCTTTCTGTATTACCTTTAGTAAAATTTTACTCGCATGGGATATCAAAGAGATTGTCCGATGATTTCCACATTCCGTTGGATCACCTCTCTTTGGAATGGACACAAATACGGATCTCTTCCAATAAGTCGGCCAGATATTGGTCTTTCAAATTTCTTGGCAGAGATGAGTGAGTGCCTCCTGTGCCACCTCACTTTCTTGAAAGACTTCAGTTTTTAGTCCACCAATTCCTGGTGCCTTGTTCTTTGCCATTTCTTCAATGCACCTTGGACTTCCTCCTTCAGTAAAGATTTACAGCCTCAGAAATCCTGTTTAGGGTCACTGTGAAATCCTCTGCAGGGTCACAAACGACTCCACGGTACTTACCACCACCACCACCAACAGATGGGTCTGGTAAAAAGAGATGGGATAAGATTCTTATGATTCAATAGTAATTGTTATCATGACTAATTGTAGCTATCACAATTGTAAAGGTGGAAGTTTTGTAACAAAAACAGGGGGAGGGGGATAATTAATCTTACAGTCCAGAAATAGGACTCTAGGACCATCAAGGGAGAAGAGCACAAGCGGAATGCGAGACCTTATCCAGAGAAGCAGCCACACCAGAGATGGAGGCAGACATGGGGACATGGAGAGAGGGAGCAGCTGAGGACTCTAGATTCATGGGAAGAGAGGGACTGAGAGCTGGCGGCCAGGAGGCTGACTTGCAGAACGTGTCCTTTGGTGGTGTAAATTATTATATATGCCTGAGTGGGTTTTTGTTTTTTTTGTTTTGTTTTGTTTTTAAAGCTAAAATGAATACAGAGAAATATTGTTAACTGATGGTACACGGAGGGGATTATAATCATTTTAATGAAACAAAGTATATGGTATGTTGAATGTAAAACTGATGATGTGCACTGTAAAATTTCACTCAATTCACAATAAAAACGTAAAAAAAAAAAAAAAGGATGTGTGTTTGGACCCCTGATCCTTACATCATTTTAAATGGAAAATACTGAAAAACACAAAAAAAGGTTTCTTTGATTTTTAAAAAATGATTTATTATCAATTATGTGATAATGTACATGGGAGAACATAGCTTTACATTCATCCTATCGTATATCTCATTGCCATGGTTACAATCCCCTCCATGCATCGTCAACCAATCAAAGGGTATACCCTGCAACCCTGCCCCCCCATCCCCGGGTCATCAGCACACAGCCGCCCCTCTCTTTCTCTGGGTCTAGAGTCCCCAACCATTCCATCTCTCCATGTCATCGTCTCTGCCTCCATTTCTGGCATCACTGCTTCTCTGGGTAGGGTCCTGCTCTCTGCTCTTCTCCCTTGATGGTCCTAGGGACCTCAGCTTCTGGATTGCAAAGTCAATCACTTCCCTCCTTTTGCTACAAAACATCTACCTTTACATTTCCAACCCTCACAACCAGTCCTGATAACAACTATTCACTATTGTATCATAAGAGACCTGTCTGCAATTCATTGCATCAGCCCGGCCTAGTCAGATTGAATACTACTCACTGGAGATTCTACCTTCCTCCAGGCCCTCTGGATCTAGGTTCCCTCTTGAAAGCTTGTAAGCCAGTCACTTCTTG